TTCATCCTTCAAACAGCAGGTCACACGAAGGCTCTTCCACGGTCCCACCTTGAATATTAGTCTTTGACACCCAGAAAGCTGTTGTCTAGGACTCCCCAGCCCTGGAATTCATTTATTCATCCAATGCATTCTTCCTGGACACGCGCTCCAAAGCCAGAGAGTTTAGGTGCCAAGCCCAGCTGCCCCGCTTGCTATGTGACACTGGGCAGGTTACTTAACCATCTGTGCCTGTTTCCTGGAGTGGACATGGCCATGGCCCCTCCTCTCTGAGGGCTGCTGTGAAGGTTGAGTTAATACAGGTGAGTGCCTGGCACCTACCAAGCGTTCAGTAAAGGGTTTTGTTTTGTTTTTCACTTAAACCCTATACCAGCCCTGTGAGGTAGTATTAGTTCCATCTTACAGATGACAAGACCGGGGCTCAAGGAGCAAAGCAACTTCTCCAGCTTGCACAATGGCACTGCCGGTGCCAAATCCAGGTCTCCAGACTCTTCCCGCCAGAGGCAGCCGCAGGACCTCGCCCCACAGCATGCAAGCTGGAGATGCTGTGCAAAACCTCGGGACCGGTTTGAATCCCGATGCCAGGCCTGGGAATGGAACAGAGAGCGTGCCACACAAAGCTGTGCTGTGGAGCATGGGCCCGGGGAGCCGGGTCCAGGGCTAGTCCTGGCTCCGGCTTTCCTCACTCTGGGCTACTTTCCTTCTCTAGGTTTCAGTTCCCACATCTGCACAAAGGGGGCAGTAACTCTGCCCATCCCACACTTGCCGGAAGCCTGCACAACAAAAGGCTGTTCGCCTGATGTTGCCTTGGAGAACCGTCCCCACTATATCCATTTAACATTGTTCCCTCCCTCCAGGAAAATGACCACGGGGACCTGCCATCCTTACAAAGAAACCATCTTATTCTTCTTCTGGAGTTGCCAATCCTGCGATGCCAGTGATGGGAGGCCCGTTGCAGGCCATCTGGTCCCACTGTGGCAAGCGTGCCTCGGCCAGACGGGCCCTGTGGTCCATTTGCTCCAGGGTGCAGGCCGCCATGTGAGGCACATGCCACCTTTAGCTCATTAGATGGGCAAATGACTAAGTGAAACGCTCCCTTCGCTCTCCTCACCTGACTGTCGGGACTAGCAGCCCTGACTGCCGTGCTGGCATAGGAGCTGGGCTTGTGCACCGCCTGGACCAGCACAGGGTGTGCGTGGCCTACATCACATGTGAATATGTACAATCATCACACAAGTAGAGCTCATGGATTGCTGCCTCTATCTTTTTGGCATTGTTTAAAATTATACTAATAGATTTCAGGAAAAAATTTGCCCACAATCCACTTGACCTCCACTTCAATGAGTAATTTTAACCATTAAAACTGTTTATTTTTTACTTTAGTCATTAAAATAATATGTTTCTCTTAGAAAACCATGCAAATATTTGCTGGGAACCCCAAGACAGCAGCTAGAAAACAGGGAAGCAGAGAGTAAAGAACACCCTTTAAAGTGAGAGGAAAGCCCAGAAGGTTGGCACTTATTACCATGGCAGCCTATGGGCAGTGCCAGCCCAGTCACCCCGGGAATGCAGAACCAAGGGGCCTAAAAACCCCACCTCATTGGGTTGTTTATTCACAACCTGCCCACGCCCAGGACTCGAGGGCTGGGTAGGCCACAAAACAGGAGTGTGTCTGTAGTGAGGAATGGTAAGTACCTTAAGTTGTCACGAGGGAAAGGTGGCATTGTGGGCACAGGCGCCCTGCACACAGGGGAATTCAGGGACAGTATCTGAGGCCCCTCCTGTGCTGACATGGGTCTGGGCTTGACTTAGCAGCCAAGGGCTTCCAACCCAGCTTAACCTTCCTACTATCTTCCTGACCCTGGGGGAGGCACTTCCTCTTTCTGGAATTCCGTTTCCTCATTTGCAAAGTGGGCCACATCACTAGCACCCTACACACAAATGAAACTTCCCACTCCCAGAACAAAGAGAACAGCACAGAAAACGACGTATGAAAGCCGGAAGTGACTGACTGGGTCTTTTTCCTTTTTTGCTTATACATGTCCTCTAATTTTTCTGCCATGGTCATGGATTCCCTATGAATTAAACATCAGTAACTAAAAGGGGGTGAAGTGGAGCTGATGGGAAGGAAAACGCGCAGCCAGGCACAGCTGATGCTTTACGTGCACGTGTTGCCTCGGGTTTTGTCCAGCAGGCCTGGAGGGGAGGCAGTGTGGCTCCCACTTCCTGGCTGCACAGACCGAATTCCCAGAGAAGTCAAAGGCCTCCCTACCATGAGGGCCTGGCAGGAGGGTGTTCAGATGCAAGGCTGTTACCAAGGTCAGCCTCCAGCTCCGGGGGAGCGGAACCGTCTCCCTGCCCTGCACCGTGACCGCAGAGCCCGAGAAAAGCCTTCCCATCAGAGCCAGACTCCAGGAACCTGTGTCTGGATCAAGGTCGGGTAATTTTATTATTAACTAACAGCCTGTGCCCAGCCAAAGCTTTTAGGGCAGGAACTTACTTTAAACAACATTTCTGAGTAAAAATATTGCGTGCACGTGGTATTCTTCTCTTCAGTAGCAACACCGCGTATTCTCTAAACAAAAATGCTAATTATACTGTGACAAGGAACATCTACCAACGATTTGATTTTTTTTTTTTATTGTCATCACACTGGCCAGGGAGCCTAACTGACTTTATGGATGGAGATACTAAATGTCTGTCACACAGTGATCGAGTTATTTCCTTTTCTGAAAAGGGAAAAAGAGCAAGTTAAATTTCTAATCATCCTGCCATTTATCAGCAGAATGCTTCTTCCTAAAGGCAAGTGCTGACAAATGGCAGCCCAAGTTCTGCGGGACCGGGTAACAGGGCGTCTCACCCCATTCACTGCTCCACCCGACCCTGAAACTGCAGCGAGGGATGGAGCAGTCTCTCTGCGGCCTGGAAAACCCACCTGAGAAGAGCCGGCGCCATTCTCATGCTGAGCTGTCCGCACGTTGCTCGAGTCCCCATGTGGCCACAGCCAGGGAAGTGATAGAAAGGAGATGAGGGGAGAGCCTTTGGGGCTGGCACAGGCACAAACCAACTGTGTGAGTCAGACTTGCACTGCCTCTTGGAGCCAGTCCTGTTTGCCCTCTGTCTGAGGCTTTATCTGCCAGGGAGATGGGCAAGGGGCCAGGGCCCTCGCAGGTGAAGGGTTGAACAGCCAGGCTGCGGCATGCTGCCAACCAGATGTCATGGCTGGCCGGTCAGGAGGAGCACTGGGCCGGAAGTCAGGGGGGTGGGCACAAAGATGGTCCCAGCTGGGCTCCAGGAGCCTGAGCGCCCCACTTCCCTGGCCCCACCCCTGCCTCAGATCCTCTTATCTGCAGAGCAAAGGTGTGGGCGGCATAAGGAATTCTCACACCACACTGCAGGAGTCTCCCACACTTTTGTGTTCCGAATATATATGTCGGTCTAGCAATTTTTAAAAACTATCTTTTTAAACATAAAGCCTCTTCAACCATATACATATTTTAACATGCTGAAATAAACGTGTGCTTCTGGGCTGTTTGGGGGCAGACCTTCCTGTCCTGTCACCTCTGGGACTGCAAAATGAGGTGTTAAAAATATTACCATTTGCACCCTCACCAGTTTGGCTCAGTGGATAGAGCATCGGCCTGCAGACTGAAGGGTCCCAGGTTCGATTCCGGCTAAGCGCACACTACACAAAACACTTAACATGGCTCTTGGACCTAACCCTGTTTCTCAGTGAGAGAACAGAAACTCCCTCAAGTGGTGAGGTTTAAGTGAGCTGGTAAAATGTTTAGCAAAGGCTCTGGTTAGAATCCACTCTGGACCTAAGGGTTGCCTGGGTTGCAGGTTTGATCCCCAACAGGATACGTGGAGAAGGCAACCAATTAATGTGTTTTTCTCTCCCTCTGGACCCTCCCTTAAAAAGCAATGGATCCCTAACCAGTCTGCGGTCTGAAGGGTCCGAGGTTCAATTCTGGTCAAGGGCATGCACCTTGGTTGCAGGCACATCCCCAGTAGGGGGTGTGCAGGAGGCAGCTGATCAATGTTTCTCTCATCAATGTTTCTCACTCTCTATCCCTCTCTCTTCCTCTCTGTAAAAAATCAATAAAATATATATTTTTAAAAAAAGCAATGGAAAAAAATATCCTTAGGTGAGGATTAACAACAAAAAAATGTTTAGCAAAAGTGCTGGCAAGTGAGTTCAAGAAATGCTAATTATTGTCACTGTAGTCTTTACCACTGTCTTGATTGTTGGGGGGAAAGGGGGGGCGCCGGCAAGATTTCAGTCAATGGAGACTCAATTATAAACAGAAGTATGAATGACCTCAGGCAAAGAAATTTGGCCTGGTAGTAAAATGGGGCAGTACTGCCTCCTAGTGGGGGTGGTTGGGAAACAGATGTATGTTGTTTTCTTTTTTTTTAAAATTGTCATCACACTGGCCAGGGGTGGAGGAGCTACTAGATGCCTGTCACATATGAATTGCCCTCGCCCATAGGACTGAACCTACTATACAGGTATAAACTCTACTGTATAGAGTACTTGCATAAGGCCATCACAGATAGAATGATTAAAAGGAATAAAGACATTGCCTAGAAATCAGACTAATCCCTGTGTACATTCAGACTACTTAATTGTTCCTAATCCAGTTATTCCCTTCTAGAAAAGGATGTATATTACTTAATACTTACATAGTATTTAAGTGCCAGGAGCTATTGAGCACATTTCATGTATTAATTCAATCAAATCTTCATATCAATCCATGGGACAGGCACTTCATCTTTTCTCCCCACCCTATGCTATAATAGGCAAGTTATTTAATATATTGTTATTGATTTCAGAGAGGAAGGAAAAGATAGGAACATCAGTGATGAGAATCATTGATCATCTGCCTCCTGCACACCCCCACGCTGGGGATCAGACTGTGGCCTCCTGGTTCATAAGTAGACATTCAACCACTGAACCACACTGGCCAGGCTGGGCAAGTTATTTTTGGCAGGTTTTTTTATATATATATTTTGAGACATATCAATGTTATTTCACTTATTTATGCATTCACTGGTTACTTCTGTTACATACCATAACCAAAGGTTGAGCCCGTAACCTTGGTGTATGGGGACAATGCTCTAACTGAACTACCCAGCCAGGGCCTTGACATAGTTTTAAGGCCCAGCTTATTTGTGACAATATTGTACTTCATTTCTCCAATTCAGCAGTCTATTATTTCTCTTGGCGTGTTACCTCTACTTCAATTACGTTTCTTTCCCCTTTTGCATCATATTCAAGGAAGTGTGGTCTGTCGTCAAAGGTTCTGGAGTTTTTGTATCTACATGTGCCTTTCGTCTTAATTTTCCTGTAGGGCAAGTATGAAATAGGCTCAGGCATCTGACTTACGTCTTCTAGCAATCAGACCTAACACATATAGAAACACATACTATTTTATAAACTGCTTATTTTTATATTATAGTTAAGGCTTCTTCATCTTGACTTTTTTTCAAAAGGAGCATAAAAAATGGATTTCACTTCAGAAATAAAGGACCACTCATTACAAACTTGTTTTGCAATAGGGGCCCACACCTGACAGGGTTGAGGACCATCTGAGCTCTTTCAGAGACTGGGATAACCCCATCACAGAGTTGATATTGAAAAGAAGCACAATACAAGTGCTCAGCATATGGTAATTCAATTTTAATTCTTTTCCTTTGCTTTTTCCTACCACACCTTGCTCAAGGGGTATCCCGACACCAGCACTGTGAACCGTGCTGAAGGGGGCAAAGGAAAGCAGCCTTTTCTGGTGACAACAATCTCACCCAAGTGCTACGCACCACCAAGGTAGGTGCCCAAGGAAAGTTCAATCCAATTCCACAGCTTCTATACAGAAACAACCCAGCAAGGGTGAGCGGCAAGAAAGGAATGAGCAGAGGATGTGGCCAGTGGGCAGGGCCCCAGGCTGAGGGCACAAAGGTCCCTTGCTCCATACTTGGGGGACTGGGGTAGAGAGGGAGGACACAAATAAACCAATAGGACCACTGTGAGATGAAAACAGACCTGGCCCTGACCTGTTTGGCTCAGTGGATAGAGTGTCGGCCTGCGGACTGAAGAGTTCTGGGTTCGATTCTGGTCAAGGGCATGTGCCGTTCTTGCGGGCACATCCCCAGTGGAGGGTGTGCAGGAGGCAGCTGAGCGATGTTTCTCTTTCATCGATGTTTCTGAATCTCTATCCCTCTCCCTTCCTCTCTGTAAAAAATCAATTAAATATATTAAAAAAAACAGACCTGAATCCAGAACTGCTCTTTAGATCCCCTGGGGAAATTTGAAAGCATACAAACACCAAGTTCCCACCTCAAACTAAATCAGAGCCACAGGGTGGAGCCCAAGCATTAGTTTTCCAAAGTTTCCCAGTTGATTCCAATGTTCAGACAAAGGTGGATAAAAACCACTGACAGCCCTAACCGGTTTGACTCAGTGGATAGAGCATCGGCCTACAGACTGAAAGGTCCCAGGTTCGATTCCGGTCAAGGGCATGTACCTTGGTTGCGGGCACATTCCCAGTGGGAGGTGTGCAGGAGGCAGTTGATTGATGTTTCTAACTCTCTATCCCTCTCCCTTCCTCTCTGTAAAAAATCAATAAAATATATTAAAAAAAAAACAAAACACTGACAGATCATCAGCAATACTATGTGAGGTATATTTGTTATCCCCAGTTTGACAAGCAATTATTTATAGCCCTGGCCAGGTAGCTCAGTTGGTTAGAGCATCATCCTGATACACCAAGGTTGCGGGTTTGATCTTTCGTCAGGGCACGTACAAGAAGCAACCAATGAATGCATAAATAAATGGAACAACAAATCGGTGTTTCTAAAATCAATTTTAAAAATATTTAACTCTTCTATAAAGAAAATTATTTGTAGAATTTTGGCACATAGCTAAAAGATAAAAATTCAGATCCAGGTAGGCCTAATTTGAAAATCAATTTTTAAAGAGCCACCTAACAGTGTTTTGGTTTTTTATTATTAATTTAGTTTTTATTCAAAAATAAGGAAAAGGAAGTTTTTCTAAAACTTTTACAAATTACTTACATAAAACAGGGACAGTCCTAAGCTTGCAACAAATAATTACAAAAGTATCTCCACCTAACACTGTTTTAACCCATCATCCTCTTTCCCATCTGCCTATCTGAATATCGGAATCCCCCTTCTATAAATCTGCCCAGACCCCTTTAATTACAAATGCCCCTCCTGACCTTGGACCCCTCTCAAATCAATGTCCCCTCAAACTGGACAATAGTCTCAAAAGTGTGGTAAGGACCAGGGTCAGGGGAAACACCCTCCCAGTATGCAAGGGGCATTCATGTCAAATAGACTGCTATACATTGTCAACACAAGTCCTACCAGGACTGCCAATCATTGTCTTGTCATTACACTCCAGCTACTGGCCCAAAGCTGGCAGGCAAACATCCTTAGCGTGCTGAGGCGGGAGGGGCAGAAAGCTCTCGTCAGCCATTAGCATCCTGCATTGAGTGCCTGCCCTTTGGTGGTCAGTGCGCATCATAGCTGTCATTCTGCCACTTGGTTGATTTTCGTATTAGGGTTTTATTATATAGGATTTTGGTGGCAACGGCTGGAACAATAGTTACCAGCTGCCTAACAGGACTTAGAAATTGTTTCCTAAGGGACATTTTCTTTCAAACTTTTAGTTTTCAAAACTTATAACAATGTTTTTCATACTGATGACTTACCTCAATTTCCTTATCCAAATGACAACAAACAGTAACCCTCACCCCCACCTCAACAAAAGGTAGCATTCAGCAATTCCTCCCCCCTCCCCCACAGCTCTGACGTTTAGGAGCTTGTCAGCAAATAACCAAACACAAAGGTGCCTGCCTTTGCACAAGGGAAAATGACTTGAGGAAAGCCACCTTCAGATACTCTTCTGGAAGGCTTAATTTTGCTCTAAAAATAAAGTGAACACATGCGTGGGTAGGGGCAGGCAGTGGTCCAGGTCTTCCTGCTGCCGGCCAGGGCCTTTCTTCGCTCCACGCCACCCACCGATGGTCAGCGCACGTCATAGTGAGCAACTCAACTCCCAAGCGGACACTTTGCATATTATTCTTTTATATACAGAGCTTTTAAAAAAAATGTTTATTGATTTCTGAGAGGAAGAGACAGAAACATCAATGATGAGAATCATTGATTGGCTGCCTCCTACACGCCCCCTACTGGGGATCCAGGCAGCAACCCAGGCATGCGCCCTTGACTAGAATTGAATGTGGGACCCTTCAGTCTGCAGGCCAACGCTCTATCCACTGAGCCAAACCTGCTAGGGCTTAGGACCTCTTTAAGTGATGGCCACAAGCAAGCAAAGTATCAATGTTTCCAGAGATTTTCACTTCCTTGTACATATATTGAGTAAAGGCACTAATGGCCATATTCTAAGACTTTAGTAAAATAATCATACACAGTGCTTTAATGTAGGTCAGATTCAAGATTAAAAGTGATATTCTACACACTTATTTGATATTGGTCTGAGAACAACATGCTTTGTGTTCCAGATAATTGAAGAGAAAGAACTGGGATACTAAGTGATGTCTAAATAATGTAATATGAATTTCTGCAATTAGGGCAAAGTTGCATGAAAAAAATTAAACAGCTATACTAAATTTGTCAAATTTCCAATCTTTTCTCAGAACCTAAAAATGTGCTAGTTCAATTCTTTTGAGGTATCCAATGAGTCTTAAAATAGGATGGAATTTGTAGACTATAAAATCATTATTTAACACTATCAGACTGCTTCAATAAAAATATACTCCAACCCATTTTTTTCTTCAGCTACTTTAATTATAAAAATCTTTCATGTCCCCTTACCCCCAGAAAATGGAAAACCAGAAGGCAATAGTCCAGTACAAAAATATACGACTGGAAGATATCACCAACTAGATCTGGAAACTAAATCATGTTCAGAATTCTGAAAAATAAAAGCACATTTAGACAAAGCACTAAATCAGCATTATAACCAGGAATTTTATCACCTGGGAGAAATCTTCCACAAATAACACAAGTGTGAAAAATTGAGCCAATGGGCCTGGAATCGGGCTATGTATACTTTGAAAAATTTATATGATCAATGCTACTCCTCATTAAAAAAAACATTCTACTAATATGAACCATAGCTCTATAATAAAAAGCAACCAGGACTTCCCACCCAGACATGGGTATATCTAACTACTTTGGTAGGGATGCCATTTACTGATCACACCATCTTTTCAAAATACATTAATAGTAGATACACTTTACCAAAATTATCTCTCTTCACCTTTCTGCTTAAGACATGGAGTTCAGCAGTAACCCACAATAAGCTGAGAACCAGGTTGTTACGTATTACTGAAACCATAAAAACCAACTATAACTGTTCCCTTAAATGATCACTACTAGTGCCCTCTAGTTAACACCTGTAGTTATTACACCACAGGTCAGTTTTAGTGACTGCTTTATCATGTGACTAAGGACGCATGATCCAACTGGCTAATGGGACTTGTAATTTTTAAAATTATAGTAACATTAGAACTTTTGAAAGCCACAATCTAAATGTACAATGTAAGAGTTTAATACTTTCTATCTTCTGTATTTTTTTGCAAGCCATAAAAATTGTGCTAGGGCTTTTAAGTGATTGAAAATTTGGGTAACTCCAAGGTTGACTATATCTCAATTTCTCCATTAGCCACATTATACCCATAATTTATTAACCTTTTTACAGAAACCCTTCTAACTTAAGACTGTGGACGTTGTATACTGCCCAAAAGGCCATATAAATGCCCATTTATAATAGCAGTGTAATTATTGACATACCATATTACTTCAATGACTTTTTAGCTATCTTGCTTTGTTCCTAACAGGAACTGTATTTAGGCTATGAGGAAATGCCAAGACAATAAGGCCCAGAGCTTCCAGCAAATCAGGTAATCTTAAATGTCTTCTGTAACAAGGCTCATACTGAACTTCAGTGATACCAATTCTCCCTTGTGACACACAGACTCTCCCCCCTGATATTTGCATGAAAGGTTAAGGACCAAGGGAAATCACTGTTTAGGACCTAATCTTGTAAGATATCCTCATAGAGCTCTGACCGGTTTGGCTCAGCGGATAGAGCAGCAGCCTGCGGACTCAGGGGTCCCAGGTTCGATTCCGGTCAGGGGCATGTGCCTTGGTTGTGGGCATATCCCCGGTGGGGAGTGTGCAGGAGGCAGCTGATCGATGTTTCTCTCGCACTGATGTTTCTCTCTATCCCTCTCCCTTCCTCTCTGTAAAAATTCAATAAAAAAAAAAAAAGATATCCTCAGAGCGCTGGCTGGTGTGGCTCACTGGTTGAGCATCATTCTGCCCGTTTGAATCCTGGTCAAGGAACATGTCCAGGTTTGTGGGCTCCATAGGTGGACAACTGATACTTGTTTCTCTCTTCCTTCCTCTCTAAAAATCAATTAAATTCTCTTACAAATTCTCTTACAGTATATGTGTATAGCCTTATAGATTCAACTCAATAACTTCTGTCATATTAAAGTCAGGATAATCCAAAACTGTCATAAAATAGCACATTTAAGGAAACTAAGCCACAAGACTGTTGCATTATGGTTTAATCTAATTGCACAAAATTTAGAAATTACAGCTCCTCTATTTCTAAGAGGAAGGTTATGCATGCCTCCGTATTCAAGTCTGCACTGTTACATTTGAACCATATAGTGAATTTTACATTATAATGGAGCAATTTAGAATTCCCATGCAACACCTCAAATCATGGAAAATAAAATGGAAGCAATTTTTAAAGCTTTGTGGAAAGTTCTCATGCTAATGCTAAAAGCCTTTTTATGGACAACTTTGGGTTATAATGTACTAGGATGCTAACCTTTAAAATGTTGGTCACTGAGTAAGTCTAAGGAAAAAACTTTAGAACGATCACTTAAGTGACAACCAAAAATTCCCTTCACTTCAAAAGCCTCAATTTTGTTTCTTATAAGATTTGTGTAACCAACTGCTTTCCATGGGACAAGAACTATGGTAATAGTGGGTTTGACTATTACAGTTATGCTATTATTTATTAATTCAAAAGCACTTTACAAGAAAATATAAG